AGAGTTCGTCTTTGGTATTCACAGTTCAGAGATAGAAGAACAGTTATTAAATGAGATCTCCTGCCCCAAAGGGATCCCCGTTGAGAAACCTATCAAAGGTAGCTTTTTCCGGAAGATAGTACCCTTTTCTGCTCTAACGTTAACCCGAGCAGTAGCAGTCAGCTGTTTTTCTCAGTTATTGGCATTTCTTTCTCTTCTGTAGGTGGTAATTCTTCCCTAAAGTAGAAAGTGTGAAAAGAAGTTCTACAAACCTGTAGATGGTAGTGTTCACTTTACAGTTGCAGCCTTCATTCGTTGTAATCCGTATGTTGCCAGTTTGTTTGGATTGGAGGGCGAAACCGGTTCGTCTTTTCAACAAGTGGCGAAAACGTCCGAGGCCAATTAAAACAATGGCTCGGATCGTTTGCATGTTGCACATATATGGCGCACCAATGCGAAATTGCCAATTTTGATTAGATGGTATCGATTGAACAGGCTTTAAGAATGGGTTCACTCTGGCTATTCAATCATCAGCTCCTTCCTTTCCCGGGACTAGCTGCAGAAGGGGTAATCGGGCATCGAGAGCTCCCATAAGCAGGGTCCTGGACCTTTTTCCTTTTTTCTCATCATCGCTTCTTAATTGTGTGTTATTGATCATTTCATGACTTTCCATACAAGGCAACAAATGGCAGCTGATGTTGTAAAGTTGCACTCTCGTCCATTAAGTTCCTGATGGGAATGTCATGAATTCGGGTTCATTCACATTCTTGGGGTGTAGGCGGAACGGAAGTGACAGATGAACGATTTTTTCATTACCGAAACCTATCCAACCTATCCATCGGTCGTATTCGCTGCATTGTAACGCTGCCGATAATGAGCGATTGCTTCAGCGGATCGGATTTGGGCGATTGGACTGGTGACTGTTCGAGTCTCGACGAAGAGCGATTACCTACAGCAGTCGAAACCGATCAGTTGACAGGAGCCGATCTTATTCTATTGGCCACTATTCCGACAGCTGCTATTCCTCTAGCTGAACATCTACTTCATTACAGTCATCCTGCTATGCCGCGACGAATACGAGAGGAAGTACTGGAAGTGACCAGAACGGTCACAATGATGGAAGTTGTCAATGCTGCACCTGACAAGCATCCACGTTCATGTGAAGTGACCGTCACGAATATCGCTTCCGATACTGGCCATCCAGTTTCGTTGAAAATCCGACATATGCATCAATCGCAGAATGTTAACCACAACGAGGCCCAAACCCAGACACCCGAGATCACCGTCGAAGAGGAAACTTCCGACGCCCTAAGACGAATTCCAAATGGAACTACACGAGTTGAGCAGGAGCATACGATGAAGGTGGAACGACTGAAACCACCACGACGACATGCCAGCAACACAAGCACGTTCAGTAGACCGAGTGACAACCTTATCGATCTGCACTTCACACAACCTGTTTTGTCTGAAGTTAATGATCAACAACACTCAGCTAAATCTCGTGCCGCTGGCCATCAAACTAACGGCCATACCATTTATTCTCTTTACTATCGACCATTTTCTGAAGAGAACTCACAGCCTATGAACCATTCTGCTGGCACTGCTGCTGCACCCACTGTGACCACTTACCGACAACCACTGAAGGAGCGCAGTTCCATCGTCGATGAAATCGATGTTAGTGATTTCTTTCTTTCATTACACTTTACAACGCGGTGTTGTTTCTTTTCATATTGATGGGCTTCCCCTAAAACGCCTCTTCACAGACTCGTAAATCGATTTTTTTTATTGATTTCATAATTGATAACAGTGGTTGACGAAAGATCATTCGTCATATTATTGGAGGGAGTTCAAGGTCAAACTGTTCTGAGAAGAAAGCCCTCTCCTGGAAATTTTCAAAAAAATCTAGCATTTAGTAATAAAAAAATGAAGTAAAAATAACATAAATATCGTAACTGTATTTACTATTTTGTGAATATTTTCGAAAACTTCTTTTTATAACCGAGTTGAGGGATACCCTATCACCAGTATGTGTCAAATTATCTTTTCTCCGTGCTCCATCACTTCTCAGCCTTGTATCAGAGAAATCCTTTTGCGACTTCCACACTACGTTTTGCACAAACTTTGTCTAAAAATTTTTTTGAAGCTTTTTTTCCGTTTTTTTCAAAAATTCACAAGACGAAATTGTTCGAGTACGGGAAATTGGATGTAAACTTGAAGGGAATATGGTAGATGCAAAAAATTTCCTCGAAAGCTTACTTCTCAGAATACCCAAACTTCATTTTTGGAGTTAGATTGAGGCTCACACGGCTTAAAAGATGTCCTTATCCCCAATAAGAAAGAACTCCACTTTAGCTAGGGATGACTTCTCTAGCTACAGTCACTCTTTAATTTTGCATCCTTGAAGGTGATCAAGTTAAGACTAC